GGTGATCTTCCCTCACTGGCAGACTGCACCAGACAGATATTCACCCCTCAACTAACTAACCAACTGACTAACCATCATCTAACTAGTAGGCTATTAATTCTCTAAGAACTCATGATTTCCTCATTATCAACTACATACTACATACAGGGTACAGTGGTCCCTCGGTTAATGAGCACAATTCGTTCCAGAAGGTTGCTCGTTAACCGAAAAATTCGTAAACCGAAACCATTGTTTCAATGGGATTTTGGGTAATTGGTTCCAGCTCACCGAAAATTACATACAAACTAAAAATAAATGCAGTAAAGTACGCTTACTTTGAGGTGTGCATGTAGAAGGCTCCTGGTTGATGATGATGATGATGGGAATTAGAATGGGGGTGGAGGAGAAGGGAGAAGAGAAGGCATTGGGGTGGAAGAGAAGTCACCCCATGCTGCCATTTCACCCATAAAATTTTAGTTCACTTGGTGTAATTCAAGATTATTTGCTTTAAATCAACACTGCACTGCATTATATATTGTCAATATGTAAAATATATTTCAAAATGACCAATAATTTGACTGGAAACACAGAAAAAAAGCGTTTATGTTGAAGAGTTTCAAACAAGATGTTCCTTCCTCTGAACTGGTAAACAAACTGACGCCAAGCTTAGTGTGTTGAGTGGCTGTTTGGCGCTCAAAAAACTAGTTTCCTGTACTTCAATTATGTTCAATAATTGTTAAAATGACAAAAAAATTTAATATAAAACTTTTAAAATTATTGAATAGTACAACCTTCTTGATATTTACTAAAATGGTAAGGAATTTAAGCCCTAAAACTGATTACTGTATTGGCGGACTAATACTACAGCTGGAGGGCAGCCAAATGCAGGCAAAAACATGTTGGGAAAAATTCGTAAGGAATTTGTTAACCGGGGGTTTGCTCGTTAACCGAAGTGAAGAATCTTATGGAAGGCAATTCGTTAACCGAGGCGCTCGTTAACCGAGGGATCACTGTATCTATATTAATTTTTCGTGCATTGATCACTGGTCCTTGTTTCTCCCCACTATTTTCCTTGTACGTATACCTCACCTCTAGCATCTGCACTATTCAACATATCTGCAGGTACATCCTATTCATGCTTTTGAGCCTTTTAAACTTTTCTTTGGGTCCTGTGATTGGCTGCCAGGTACTCTTCCATGTCACCACCCATCTTCCGGGCCTTGTACAGTCGGGTCGCAGAGTACGTGTATCCAAATTACGCGACCCCACTTACCGGTATACGCATTTTACCCCCTGAACCGCCCTTACGCTTGGGTCTCGCTCTCATGCGAGCCAACCTACCCAGTATCTCTCCGGCTTAAAAATAAAGAAAATATAATAAACTTTAAGATAAGAAAGTTGAAGAGCTTGTGTTGAGGCAGTGAGCTGTAACTGTGTTGCTGACTTTCCACCCAGCTGCAGTCTCCCTCCCTCATGTGACGTCATAGCATACAGACAGTGCAGCAGTAGCCACTTGTGTCTGAGAATCAACTGAGTGACTGCCTGGCTGAGCTGTGTCATGTAGCCCAGAGGATGGTTTGAATGTTTGTTTATACCTTTGAATTGTTCATTTAGTACTGTAGGTTTATATCTGTGTTCATTTTTATATTTAAGGTGTTTGTATGGTACCATAGGTTAAATTATTGCAATGAGCATCCTTCTCTCTCTCATTCTGGTTTCATGAACATCTCCCAGGTATTCACGCTCATAAAGTTTTTCTTTACTGGTGAATTTTACCACATTCATGGCCCTGGTCCCTAAGAGGAAAATTAGTTAGTAGCAGTGCTCGTGGAGGTGAGAGTTTGAAAAAGAAAAGAAAACACATACAGTACTGTCAGAACTTTTGATGAAAAAGTCAAGATATTGGACTTAATAATGAGTGGCATATTGCACTCTGAAGTTGCATGTTGGTTACCTTAGTATAAAAAGGGGGTTATACATAATTATACAGTATATACAGGGGGACCCAAATACATATACATGAATTCACACTTACACGGGGATCCCAGGAACGTAACCCTCTTGTACTCTGAGACTCTACTGTATAATCCTCTGCTCTCCTTTTTCACTCAGTCCATATCATCTTTCCACCCCCCCATGTTTCTGCATGCCTGGCCGGGTCCTTCATCCAGCCACACACCTTGTCAGCTACACTTAGTTGAACATCCTTTAATTAGTATCAAATCTACTTGTTTATCTTGACTCTTGTCATGCTTGAAATAATTAAGACATTATCCAGATTCAGTGGAATGATAACCTTTAAACAGGATGTGGTTTCTCTTCTTCAAATCTGTCCAAATCCCAATCAGCTTTCTTCTCTGGTTTTCCAATGATGTTTGGGAAGGAGACAGTCATCTCATTTCTCATCACCTTATTTCTACAAGCTTCATCTTTGGGTTTGAAAATGGAAATCCCTATTGATATTCTTTCATGTTTACAAGACTTCTGCTGTGGTGCAGGGTGACTGAACAGGTGCTGATTTTCTGATGCTTACCATTCAATAGGGTGGTTTACCCCTTTACCCCACTGCAAAAAATAATATATTTTGGTTTGTTCCCTTTGAAAGTCCTTGAATATATTGTGTGAATCAGCTTGAAAATATTTCTAAATAGTATTGAGAAAGTTAAATCCTATTGCATTTCAGTTGTCTTGGTGATGGAAATTTTAAGGAGGATAAATTTTCTGTTAGTCCTTAAGCTTCAAGCATATGTGTTTTGGCCATTCCTCTCAAAGAGGCATTTGCTAGATTTTTTTTCCTGTGATCACGACCTCAGAGGCTGTGGTTCTTCTTTGGCCATCCAGAGAGACATGTCCATTGATCTGACAAGAACCTTCATTTCACAATATTTATTTGAGGAGAAGGAGAGAACTGACTGCATGATGTTGGGAAGTGTCTAATATCATTTAAGTTCATTGTTGTTGTGAACCATTTTCTTTAGCTCCCCAACATTTTTGGGCACTTTTCCATTTAACAGTCTTATTACTTCTCCTGTAATCTATCTGGCTTGTGTAAATTGTGAATCATCTGCATAACATCAAAATTATAAATAGGGGGATTAAATCCACAAATTCCATTTTCTGATGAATGGTTAGCAGAAGTGTCAGTTTTCAGCCTTCCTCCCTGTAGTGTGGAACAGAGCAGAGAGGGTTGGAACAGCTTGCCAGTTGGGGAGGGCTGCCTGAAGCGCCTGTTTTTTATGACTCAAATCTTCAACAGTAGGTGTAATTGTCTTGGCTCCCAGACTTTTCTGCTTTTAATCGTGATCCAGATATGGTAGCGCCTACTACTATGTTTGTTGGCATGATAAAAGATGGCTGTTGTCTTCTGAACTTGTAATCCTTGACAGACCACAAGCCACCTGCTCATAAAATGGGATTTCAGGATTTAATCCCCCCTTTTTGACAGGAAATATATTTTAAATTTATTTACTGTATGTTTGTGCAAGTTAATGTGTATTTTTTGTACCTGTGTGTAAAGTAGATATAGCTTTGTTGTATATTTTAATAGATTTTAATTTTGATTATGATCATTGTGATATCATATGTTAATGCTTCATAATTTGAATTAGATGTACAGTATATTGAGCTTAAATGTAAACTTGCAGTGCATACCTTGTTATTATAGTTATTTAAAGTTGATATTTTGATTTATAGGTGAGGAAGTATATTTGCTGTTTTTAAATGTGAAATGTGTGTTTGTATAATAATAATGTGCATGGTATGCCTCTAGTCTGTGATTAGGCAGTGTATATGATTGGTTAAGGAACATTGAGACTATTTGTTACTAAAAGTACTTAAAGCATGATAATATTTTTCACCACTGCTGATCTTGCTTATGCACTAATTTTAAAAAGAATGAGGTATGCTTTACAAAAGTATATATGGATGAAGCACAGAATAACTGGAGTGTGAAAGTGAAACTTTTTGTAGATATTTAGACAAATCTTAAACCTTACCAAGTGATTCCAGTGCCAGAGACATGATAAACTACAGTAAGTACTTAGAAAGTTTTGAAGATAATGCAGGTTATCAAGATGCCAGAGTTTAGGATGGCAAAATGTGTTGACAGTATTAAATGGTGGGAAGTGTGTGAAGGCATTCTGCATTATGTTCTCATACTAAAATCTTTTACAACTTCCACCCCCTTCTGTTCATGAGTATATTTTATTGGACCTTCACATAGTTGGCTATCTCAATTAATATTCTTTAGTGGTTTGTACTTTTTTCATGATCATTAGTAGGAAATTATTACGTATATTATGTGATATTTCATGAATATATTTTAAACTTGATGATAGTTACATGACTGTGGTTTTAAAAGAATCTGTATTTGTTGATTTGTGCCTTATACTGTAATGGGGTTGTTTCTTCTTAATATGAATCATGATTTATATTCAGAAGTTTGTGAGGAGTGAGTTAATACATCCTCAGGGAATAATGTATTATCTCATGAGGTTAGAGACTTGCAAACTTTTTATCAAGATGAATTTTATTACTGTATTGGAAGTAGAAACTTTGGAAGATTATGAAGGAATCTGGCTATAGGAGTCATAATCATTAGTCATGTCTTTTAAATCTCCTGAACATCAGATGCTCTATGCACTTTTACTATGCTGTCACTTGATGACCCATGTATTATCACCATTCTCCTCTTCATTTTATTTATCTTACAAATTCTTAGGAATAATGACAATTATTTTTATTAAGACATTCAGAAATCCTCTTATTTCTTTTCTCATGATTTCAGCTTGTCATCTGAGTAATTGTGTACAATTCATATAATTTCACTCTTCATTTGCTTTACTGGTCACTAAATACATCTTTGAGCTAAATTCTCTCATACTTATTCTTCTGTTATTTTAGATTTAATTTCATGCATCTTATGTGGCTTTTATTATCTACTTCTTGACTCATATCTCTTCCATCATTCTGAACATCTTGACCTCATTCACTACTCTCTGGTGCACCTGACTGTTCCCTAGACGTGCACAGTGGAACACCAGCACAATGAGGAATGCAAAGACTTGGTGGTCATGGAGAAGCGCATTCAGGTATCACCTTCCATAATGTATGTCTTGTTGTTAGTTGTTGTGCTTGCATTGCCTGTGCATGTATTCATTCTTCACTTAAAATCTTACTTTGTTTTAAGTTTTTTTGCTGGTCACCATAGTGGAGTACATTGTTACTATATGGAGGTTGCTGTGAAATACTTATTGCAAGTAATGTGTATTTTAGCTCTCAGTGCCCCATGGTGTGACATATACATTCATGAATATGATGGCAAACTTGGTGTTGATTTTGTTTTAAAGATTTCATTAATAAAGAACTTTTAGTGAGTTGTTCAAGTAGCCTTCCATGTATTTTTTTTTTTCAATTTAGTTTAATTACAGATAATGTACCCTTCTTTTTGGTTAATATTTTTGTGCTTTGTGTCCATTTTGCCAGTTGATGTGACCTTTTTCTTTGATAGTGTAACAAATGTTAGCAATGCAGAAAGTAGAATTAATAGTACTAACTACCTTTTCTTAAACTTTAGAGTGTGATGAACCACAACAGGTGCAAAATAATGTCAAGATGAATAAGTTTTACTTTGTGTCTCTCTTGAACTTCAGGACTGTTTTACCGTAAAAGACATAATTCCTTGACTTGGATGATATTATTAGTCACTGGAAAATGTGCTTCATGTGATTTATAAAGTAATTAATTGTTAATGTGTTCATCTGCATCTAAAAATTAATTAAAATGGTTGACCATGAATATACAGTACTAATACAATTCTTAACATATCACATTTTACATAAAATATGGTTATTGGATGGTGTATTGCATCATGTCTCCAGCTCACGTGTATGGGAGGTGTACACCCATACTGCTGTGTTCATCTGGTAAAGGCACACATGTTTCTTTACAACAGTTTGATTATTACACAAAGTATGAGATATATCTATAGAATTTAACTTAAATTGATATTCCTTTGTGGTATGAAAACAGCTGATAATATACTGTATACTGTACAGTACTGTAATGTAAAGCATTTGATTGTCTTGGTTAAATATCTGAAGGGGCAAATGGTTGAATAGACTAAATGATTGATGCATTTTCCTTGTTGTGTACAGATAATTTAATATACCTGGTACTGTACTGTACAACAACAGTAATTGCTACCAGTATATAATACTTGATAAATTTATTATGCTTCTTAGTCTGAGAAATAATTTTTGGTACCTGTATATACAGATTGTAGTAGAGAAACAGTATTAAAATTAATTGTAATTATATATAAATACTGTATGTACATAACATTATGATATTTACCATTGACTACAGTAATAGGAATGTAACATTTATAAATGAAAAAATTTATTCAACAACTAACCACTACATCATAAACACATGCTTATTGCCATGTATCCATTCTACATTTAGATTTTAGGTAATATTTACAAATAATCAAATTACTAAGTACTGTGCTGTATACTGTACCAAAGATTACTGTCTTTCGTCAAGATTTATTTGATTTGTTGCATTGTTAAAAATACATATTTTAGGAACTCCCAAACAGTTTGCAAGGTACAGTATATACTGTATATTGAATTACTTGTACTGTATTAGATATCTTCTTAGTTTCATGTGAAAGCACTACTTTAAGACAAGTGTTCTGTCTCTAATGAATGGTTAGAAGTTTTTGCTACATATCCAGTGTTGACCTTGTGTTGAGTTCATCTGACAAATTTTCAGCCTCTGATGGAAATTAATGTGTACAATCTGTGTAAGTTCTTTTATTACTCTTTTTGGGAGGGCAGACCAGAATGAACTTGCTCCATTTGCCATCAGCATGTCATTTTTCTACATATTCCACCAGTGAGATCCTCTGTACCTGTGTTTTACTCTACTCTCTTTTAATCTCATCATAACTGATTATATATATATATATATATATATATATATATATATATATATATATATATATATATATATATATATATATATATATATATATATATATATATATATATATATATATATATATATATATATATATATATATATATATATATATATATATTCTTCACTTGCCTTCACTTGCTAAATTGTTCCTTCCTCCACTATTGTACTGTACTCCAGCTTATGCTTTATTAATCAGTGTAACTCCTCTAGGTTCTGTATTTTTTCCATTTATCAATTCTTTGAACTGAACGTGAACTTCACTAGTGGCCCCCTTCAACTTGTATTGTTTTAGCCATTTTTCTTTTATCAGTATGATTATTTAGTGTACTGTACAGTATTCTGTGTTGCACCTAATGGTTTATTTATTTTTTTGTACTTGTATCTACTTAAGTTTTGGAAAGATGTTTTGTACACTAACTGATATCACAGCTTCCATTTTGTCAACCTTATTAAAATTGACAGCAATATTAAGATTCTTGTAATCTCTCCAGTCAGCTAAGTTTCACATTTCAGCTTCATTTCCCTAGATATATCGCTTTTTTTTATTCTATGTACAGTTACTTTATTTTTAATGTCCTATGAGTCATTTGTCAAGTGCCATGAAATGCCATCCGGTGACACAGTTCCTGGCAGAGTTACCTTTTCCAGGGAAGTATGCTTCTGAGGCAGGAATACTGGTCTTTACAGATCATCAAAAATGCAACATATTAGCTACCGGGTATTTGTCAAGTCATTATAGTGAATAGTGAGTGTGAAACCTCTTGCATGACCTGGTGGTGCTCTGAAAAGTGTTCAAGCTTATGTGGTCACCAGGACAAGTCCTTTACCTGGTCACATGACTCAGAACTCCCAGCCATAAACATGGGTGGGTCTCTGATGTTTAATTCTCACTTTAAAGCTATCAATGTGAGTGTTACCCATCTCTATACTATACACCTTTTGGAGTTTTTTAGGTTAAGTGTTCCTTTTCTTATGTTTTACTCGTGTACAAAGACCTTTCCCTCACAACCGTTGTATTTGCCGTAGTTTCTCATGATTATTCAGTCATTTTGATTCACTTTATAAGTGTACACAGTTTTGCCGTGACTTTAGGGAAGGCTAATTAGCATGCGAATTGTAAGAGTAGCTCCAAGGGTCTTACTCCTAGGAAAGTTTCCCATATTGAAGAATAATATTGAATTGCACTTCATTCACAACGCTGTCTTTGATGTGCAACAAGCAACCAGCTTATGATTTGATACCGTGTTGCTGTGTTATACATACTGTACATTGTTTAAGTAGATTTGGTTTATGAACAATTAACTTTGAAGTTAGTTTTTGTCCAGTGATTATTGTACTGCATTTCAGTTAAGCTCTGTTTGCAGCCAGAAATAGTGCTTTGGTTTGTTACTTGCTTTGATGTGTTTTGTTTCCTTGGTGTGAGGAGATTATGTGGGAGCTGTGTATTGGGTATGTAGTCTTTGCAGAAGTTTGCTCTTTATTTTTTCCGTAGCCTGTAGTCTGTGGGTCACTACTAAAGTACGTATTCTCACTTCAGATTCATGTTTTTTTTCCTCCGACATCTTGAGAAAATGTCAAAGCTTCAGGATAGGAAGGTAGCCTTAGACTGTACATTGTTAATTCAGTGGCAGATCCAAGCTCCAAGGGAGAAGTAGACAAGATTTTGCAAATGCCTTCTCATTGCCCTTACCCCAGGAGATTGACCCAGGAGAAACTAAAGTTTCTCCTGGGTCAATCTCTGCCAGAGAATTAGATTTGTCAACAAACAATATTCATAGTATTAGTTCTGGGAGATAATTTCTCAGGCTTGAAATTTGATAGGGACCCTTTATTCCCTTGGTCTGGGGTAGACTGTTCACAGTTAGATTTACAAGCACATCACTTTAATCAGCTTTGTGGTTAACCATGAGTCTCAGTGTGGAGCCTTCAGGGCATATCACAATGGATGTTATTTAACTTACTCAGTTGGGTTGTATGCTTTGTCTGGAATCAGTCTTTGGGAGGAGTATGACCACTAGAGAGTTGTCCTCCTTGGGATACCTGGACATTACTTGTGAATTGTTGGCCTCCTTGGTACCTGGGCACCTGTAGTGCTCTTTGCTCTGGTTCACAGGGTATATATAGGACTGTAAGTTGCAATACTGGTTGGAGGTCATGCCTCCATCATCTTATTGGAACTAGCTGGCTTCAGTGTAATGTGTATTGCCTGTTCCACTGTGTCAGTTTTAAGTGAGGGATTGACCCTAAATCTCCTTATCCCAAGCATGGATCAAGTAACTCAGAACCTTTCCTCTTCTCTAAGGATGCTTAAGAGTTAGGAATTGAAGTTTGATTGAGCATGAGGCCTAGTTTAACCTGTTTAGGTCTTGGGGTACATGTGCAGTGGCACCGCAGCATAGACTCTCAGGTCTTACCTTTGGGCAGTTGGTTTGTCTGCTGTACCCATTTATAGAGGTAAGAATTGAATTAAGAGGGATTCCATATTACAGTTTTTTAATTTGACTAGCTCTCTGGGATGTAGCCCAATTGCATTAATGGAGGGTTCTTAGAAACCTTGAAGTTAAATCCCTAAGTTTGTCAATGCTAGCTTCAGTTTATGTCCTCTGATATATGAATCACTCTGAACTGGTATCGAGTAATGAATAAGGATTTGATCCTAAAAACCTAGATACAGATATAAGCAAACCAATGAGAAGTGCTCAGAAAGCACCTGCCTCCCTGGCTTGTACTTGGAGGTTGTCTGGACGTGAGTTTGGTACTGTGAACCTGTTCTGTTACGGGTCAGTCAAATGAGGCATTGTGCACTATGGCTGTGTGGCTTCTTGACTTGTTACCTTTTAATGTCCGTTGGTAGCTGTCACCTCTTAGTGTCCATTTTGGGGTGTCTGTTATCACAGGGAAGATGGCTTATCTTTAGATTAGACACCAGCTGCCTTAGTTCAGAGTTTCTTAGGCCTGAACCCATAAGCTTTGGCAGGTATTATACGTACACTAGGTTCTGCATCGGTGTAATGTACATATCAACAGGTGTATGTACATTGGATTTACTGTAAACACATGCTGAGTGTAGGCTTTTTCAAATCTAGCATTATTCGGGCTGTGG